GGCTCATGCCTATACTCCCAGCACTTTGGGAGACTGAGATGAGAGGATAGCCTGAGCCCATGGGTTTGAAACCAGCCTGGGCAACTTGGCAAGAACTTATCTCCACAATAAAGTTGTTTTTTTTTAATTAGCCGGGTGTGGTGGTGTGTGCCTGTAATTCTAGCAACTTGGAACGTTGAGGCGGAGGGATCACTTGAGCCCAGCAGGTCGAGGCTGCGATGGCAGTGAGCGTGCCACTGCACTCCAGCCTTGGTGACAGAGTGAGACTCCAATTCAAAAAGAAAAGAAAATAAAATAAATAGGGCTCCCTAGCCAAGCGTGGTGGCTTACACCTGTAATCCCAGCACTTTGAAAGGCAGAGGCGAGAGGATTGCCTGAGCCCAGGAATCGAGACCAGTCAAGGCAACTTGGCGAGACCTCATCTCTACAATAAAAAAAAAAAAATTGGGGCCAGGCATGGTGGCACACGCCTGTAGTTCCAGTTACTTGGAAGGCTGAGATGGAAGAATCACTTGAGCCCAGCAGGTTGAGTCTGCGGTAGTCATGAGCATACCTCTGCTCTCCAGCCTGGGTGACAGTGAGACACCAACTCAAAAAGAAGAAATAAGGGCTCCCAGGCAGAGGGTGGTGGGTACACTTAAAGCCCAGACTTCTTCACCACTATACAATACATCCATGTAGCCAAAAACTATTTGTACTCCCTAAAGCTATTAAAATATAGAAAAATAAGTTAATTAGTTTTTAAAAAGAAAGAAGAGCTCCCGATTCCAGTGGTGGTTCATGCCCAAAGAGGTAACAATACACAGAGGACAGATTCACACATAGAGGCACACACACACACACACACACACACACATACACACACACACACGCTAAGGCCTGCAGTCACACACTGGCTTGTGAACTATGAACCCTGCTCCCAAGTTTCTGAGCTCCCATTCACATGAGAACCTGGCCATAGGCTCACACCAATATAGAACCCACATGCTTGGCCAAGAGAGATGCACCTCACCCCTTGGGCCTCACCGACTGGGAGGCCCCATGGTGAATCAGGGAGCCATCACTGAGTACCTGCCTGCTGGTCCTATTGCCAGTCTGTGACTCAAGGCAGAATGGTAGACTTCTGGTGCCAGAGCCCAGAACACAGGCTGTGGGTGTGGGGCTCAGCCCCTGCCCTGCTGCTTCCTCTTCCCCCACCCTGTAATGTGCTTCTCAGCCCCTTTTTTGCCTCTAGTGGGGCCACATAGGCAGCACAGGGCAGGAATTGGCAAGGGACTCCTTAACACTGGAAGAAAATGGGGAACTCCATCCCAAAGCGCCCCATCCTCACCCTGTCCCCATCTGGCCCGGGAACCAGAACAGGGGTAGCCCTGCCACCAGCAGGCACAAGCCCTGCACACGTCTGTTTGCACTTAGTTCACATACAAGTTCACATGGGCTGCACCAAGAGGGAGCAAATCACACACACAACCATGATCTCCATATCTTGCTCACATTAAGCAGCATGTATGTGTACAGCTAACTACGTGTACTCATCCATGTGTTCATGCATGTATGTACCCGTCGGAGCTGCAGCTCACCATACAGGATCTTTGTGACCCCCTCCAAGTCAATGCTGCCTCAGCCAAGGCACATGATTTGGCTAGTAGGCCAAGAACTGGGTCTCAATGCCCTTGACCCCCTACACCCTCAATCAGGACCCAGCCTTCAGGACTGTGACCCAATGTACCCCCACAAAACTCACACATGCCGGGCGCGGTGGCTCATGCCTATAATCGCAGCACTTTGGGAGGCAGAGGCGAGAGGATTGCCTGAGTCCAGGGGATTCAAGACCAGCCTGGACAATTTGGCAAGAACCCGTCTCTACAATAAATAAAAAAATTAGCCAGGCGTGGCAGCACACGCCTGTGGTTTCAGCTACTTGGAAGAATCATCTGAGCCCGGCAGATCGAGGCTGCGGTGGCCATGAGCGTGCCACTGCACTCCAGCCTAGGTGACAGTGAGACTCTGACTCAATAAATAAATAGGTAACTAAAACAAAAATTTAAAAATAATGAAAAACTCATATCCGTAAGTAGTGTGCACACACATGTTCATACATGTACGCACACATTGGAATGGCTAGGGTTGAAGCTGAGAAGATATGTGTTGGTCTTCATGCTTCTTAGTAGATATGAGAGGACCCTTCCTGGAGGAGGGGGAAGGACCAATGCCTTGCAAGGGCCACTTATTCCGGTTCACTCTCTTCAGTTTGCCTGGAGTAGGGAGGGCTCAAGGTCTGAGGATGCCTGTGCAGAAGCGCCAGGTTGGCCTGAGGGTGGAGGGCAGAAGCCTCCCACCTCATTGTACAACTCTCATCATTCTTACTGTAGCCAATGTAATTGGCGCCCCCTAGAGCAGAAGGCAGAACACAGCATGGCTTCCCAGAGAAGAGACAGCTTCCGGAAGGTGGCCCCAACCCTCTGAGTCACAAGGCTTACCCAGAGCCCTCCGGGTTTCCTCTTGCGCTTTGGGAAGGAAAGTCAGGCCTGAGTCCAGGCTGAGAGCCAGGCTCCTGGGCGCTCTGGGAGGAGGCAGATGAAGAGGTCTCAGCTCCTCCCAGGGCATCTTGAGCAAGGTTTGTGTCTCACCTGGGCGGGAGGGCTAATCCAGGAAAGGGGCCTGAACAGCCCATCCAACCTGTGGGAGGCTGCGACTTCTTTAAGGTCAGAGCTGGGGGAGTGGGTTCCCAGGCGAGGGAAGGGCCAAAGATGCAAGTTCCAGCCTGCTGGACCAGAGGGGCTGGCTGGGGACCTTGAGGTGGGAGTACCACACCTTTCATTTCCTGACCCCGAACTCTTTCTGCTAGAATGGGAGCAGCCTGTACCAGCAAAGGAGACTTGGGCCTTCCTTACTGCCAGTGAGTCAGAGGTGGGAGTGGAGACATAGAAAACTACTTACACTAGAGTCCCCCCAGTCCATAGCTTCTTCTAGAACATTGGCGTGTGATGGGGGGAGGAGCAGAGCAGACATGCAGATATTTTCTTTTTTTTTTCTTTTTTTTTGAGTAGGAGTTTCATTCTGTCGCCCAGGCTGAAGCACAGATATTTTCAAGTTTGGAAATTACTTTGGCCGGGCTCAATGGCTCAGCCTGTAATCCCGCGCTTTGGGAGGCTATGGTGAGTGGATTGCCTGAGCCCACGGGTTCGAGACCCGCCTGGGCAACTTGACAAGACCTCATCTCTACAATAAAACAAAAAAAAAATCAACCGGGCACATGCCTGTAATTCCAGCTACTTGTAAGGCTGAGGCAGAAGTATCGCCGGAGCCCAGCAGGTCAAGGCTGCGGTGGCCGGGAGCGGCCACTGCACTCCAGTCTGGGCGACAGTGAGACTCCAACTCAAAAAAAAGAAAAAAGAAAAAAACAAAGACACTCAAAAGCCAGATATTATTTTGCTAGGAATTACACTTAACCCTTGAACAAAATGGGTTTGAATTGCATGGGTCTACTTATATTTCGCCTCTACCACCCCTGAGACAGCAAGACCAAGCCCTCTTCTTTACTACTCAATATGAAGACAGCAAGGA